ATACGTGATTTTTTAGGTTCTTTGTCGCTTAGAGTTGTGGCTAAAAATGGACTGTGATAAATTGTCAATTTATCATTACGAGGATAATTATCGGCAGTAAAATGTAGTGATTTTTGGCCGGGTATTAAATATTCATGGAAAATACTATACTGGCTCGCTGTTTGTATAGTAAGTAGGCTTTTCTAGGTACGATCGATATTTCTGGTAATGTCGAAATTAAGTTGTAAAGCCAAAACCATTTTACAACCTACAAGAAAACAAAGGAAGTTTCTCATTTCAACTGTATTTTTCGTTTATTCTGAACCAATGTCTACATACATATATAACGCCAAATTCATGAACTCGCCGTGCTTTGCAGTTTCCGACAATTGTTTCAACTTCATTCGGTAGTCTTTGTCAGACATTTCGCTTCGCACTCCGGTGCGTAAAGTAATTCAAGTAAACTTTAAGCATTTTTTATTTATGTTCTAGAACTAATTACCTAGATTACGGAGAATGGTAATTGTGGTGTTATAGATGCCTATAATTCCTTGCCAACTAACTTTATTTCATCCTTACCACATTCCCGTTAGAGTATATCGATAGTGCCGATAGCGTAAATGACTTCAAAACGAAATCATTCTTTGAAGTCGGTTAAAAATATCAACTCATCGGCTGTTCACTCGACGCCATAATTGCCATACTCCAGTTGTCAGGTGCTCCTATTTCGACCACAATAGTTTTTAACACATAGAAAACCATTGTACGGTTATCCGTTGACCCCATTGCCGCGCCCTGAGTTAACTTCTTTGTTATTTTCGTTAACTATCGGACTGTGAGCTGATTGTTTGGGTTAGATAAACAATACTAAGGTAGTTCAGTTGGTAATAGTAATACATACATGCTTCCATACTCTGTTCGGTTTTTTTTATTAATGGGTGATGATGGAATAGTAACACCGTCTGCGCTATCGGTATACGCTGGCGGGGCACCAGTAAGTGATGATAGGTGAGAATGAAAAGACAGGTCAGTTAGCCCATCGTGTTGAATACACTTGGAATTCAGCACGGTGGTTTCCAGGGGGACCACGTGGAGGTCAACTTGTTTAGGTATATTGTTAGCAATGGGGTCCTTAGTCTCCATTATTAACAATCCCTTTCTCACTTGCTGTTAGGGTTAGCTCGCTTCAGTAGCGCTTCTAGCATGTTTGCTCAATCTCGCGTAGATAATTACTATGCTGTAAGGAGAAAGAGAACTGCATCATAGCTACACAGAGTTAGAACAAGCACCAATAGCATTCTGAAAGTAATAGTAAATTAGGATACAACTAATAATTAGGTAAGCATTTCATTCGGAGGCCAATCTAGATGGCTGGGTTGCATCGGAGTGAATTACTTCAGTTGTATGTTCACTTTTTACTAACATAGTTTGTAAGGAAATTGTTACTAACAGAATGGACCAAATTGGGGGGAAAGGGATTGTTAGTAATGGATACTGAGAATCCCATTGCTAGCAATATACCCAAACAGGTCGACCTCCTTGCAGTTCCCCCTGGAAACTATCATGGTTAATTCCTGATGAATTCATCATGATGGGCTAACTGGCCTGTTTTCATTCTCATCGATCACCCTTCACTGGTGTTCCGCCAGCGTATCCTGTTAGTGCGGGCGGGGTTACCATACCATCTTCACCCATAAAAAAATGGACCAAATTGTAGTCTGTAATAAGAATGATTATTATTATTTGTTCTTGTCGATCTGTTACGGATTCAACATTATGATATTCTTTTTATATCATTCATTTTGACCTAACATGATATTTTTCCTGTTTAGCAATTACATTAGCCAATAAACAAACATAGAGATATTGCTTAAAAGTAAAAACTAACCTTGCAGTGGCCGGAAACCGTGAGGTCTTCGCAATTTTCCGCTTAGTACAATTGAATTGAAGTACCTACTTAGAACACAAATGGCAGGCGTCTAGTGATTTGTGAATTTAAAAAAAAAAATAGATTGGTAATCCCGATTACGTCATCGGTATACGCTGGTGTACCACCATTGTGAATTTTTTTTTATGGGTGATAATGAAATAGTAACCCCACCCGCGCTATCGGTATACAACGACGGGGCACCAGTAAAGGATGATAGATGAGGATGAAACAGAAAAAATTCAACAATAAACCGATCAAGATGGTTTCCAGTGGGAACCGCGAGGAGGTCGACCTGATAGAGTTTATTGCTAGCAATTGGATTGGTAATCCCCATTACTAACAACCGCTTTTCCCACTGCGCGGGCGGGGTTACCATACCATCATCACTCATTACACATTTCTTGGATTTCCTGGGCAAACGAACATTTATAAAGAGGTGACTAATTGCATTGTTTTGTATCCAATGCATTAATAACTTATATGGATGATGCATGATACCAGCGCGTCATGTAACCAGAATGGAAAATTTGTGATAAAACACAGTATGCAGAGTACTAGCACTATAATAAACAATATAAACATTTATTGATTTGTTTTAAACAAAAATGAATTAAACATATTTGATGTTGTTGTAAATTTTATTATGGTTGAAATTCGATTTTTTGGGAAAATTAAATTTATATCCTTGTAGATTACGTCTATTTATTAAACGTCACCCACGACTTACAAATGAAGGATAATAGGTGAGAATGAAAGCAGGTCAGTTGAATCTTCGTGACCAATTCAATGATTATTAACTATGACGGTTTCCAGAGCAACTACTTGGAGGACCATGCTGTCGTAATGTCTTTATAAAAGTGATTTTATTTGTAGCACCTACATAAAGGGCATGGCGGACACCGATTGGAAAGTGGACACGGGGCATTGTGCGAGCTGTACTCGTAGTGCAGACTTTCTCCTTATGTTGTTTTATGGTCCAAGCACGGAGACTACTTTTTGCAGGTGTAATATCGAAAGTAAACACCTGCTTTGAGTACTAATAGTTATTTTTTTGAGGGGGAAAGGGATTGTTAGTAATGGAGACTGAGAATCCCATTGCTAGTAATATACTCAACCAGGTCGACTACCTCGCGGTTCTCCCTGGAAACTATCATGTTAAATTCCTGATGAATTCATCATGATGGGCTAACTGGCCTGTTTTCATTCTCATCTATCACCCTTCACTGGTGCTCCGCTAGCGTATCCCGTTAGCGCAGGCGGGGTACCATACCATTTTCACCCATCAGAAAAAAAAAATAGTTTTTTTTTTAATGGATGATAATGGAATTTTAACCCTGTTTGTGTTTGTATACATTGGTGGGGCACCAGTGAGGGATAATAGGTGAAGATGAAGTTAGGTTACTTGGCCCATCGCGACGAATTTGACAATAATCAATCACGATCGTTTCCAGGGAAACCGCGTGGAGGTCGACCTGACAGGGTATAGGAGATTAAAACCCTCATTACTAGTAATCCTTCTCCCTCCCCATCAAATAGTTATTAGTTAATATCTAGTAGAGCTTACGACCCACTACTAGATGGAGTGACGAACTTAAATGCATTGCAGGGAATCAGTGGATTCAGGTGGCTTAGGACCGTTCTTTATGGCAGTCCAAGGGGGAGGCCTATATTCAGTAGTGAACAGTTAATGACTGATGATGATGATCTAGTAGAAGGTTTGTTTTTTTTTTACTACGTTTGTTCCGTTGTGGATCAGGCTAAGGTCGGATACCATGCTGCCTGTAGAGGGTTTGTTTGATAAATCCTGTTACCAACCAGACGTAGAGACAAAGTACAGACATTTATTAATCTTATGGTTATCATAATTAACTACATATTATTATATTTTTTTAAATAAATTTTCGTTTAACATCACTTAATCACTAGCAACTGTTATTAATGGCTGGCAACACAAAGAAGAGAGAAGACAGGTAACTGATATTATCTTAATATTCTAGATTCTTATGGTGACATGTAAGTTAAAAAAAAAATCTGAGTTCATTTATACTACATATATATTTATTAGAAGAATTTATTAACAATATTTTTTTTTATTTCATTAGTCCTACCGCATTCGGATTTATTAAATATCTATAATGCAAAAATCCTTATTATGTAGATAGGTAAAATACCTAATTTCTTTACCTTCTGTTTAAATTATACCCTAAGATTTTCATCTTCAATTTTTAGAACTAAATTATTGGAGTAATATTTTGTTAAATTGTTGTCTTTTTGTCTTGCTTTTATGTAATTATTTATTTTGTTTGTGTACATATTGTTACTTTTTATAATCTGTATATTTTTTTTAAAAGAACAATAAAGAGTTTTTATTCATTCATTTAATATGGATGAAATTTTCGCCTATTTTTGCCTACATATAAATAACCTAAAGATCACTGGGAAAGCCTGCATATTGCTATAATGACAATAATACTTATCTATGGTAAAAAGACCTAATATATAAACCTCTTTATTTCATCTAATTGAAACTTAAGTACGATGTTTGTAACGGATAAATAAAAAAAAATCCTTAACTTTTTAATAATTCTTTCACTTATCTATAGAAAGCTACTTTATTAGCGAGTAATATGGCCTGTATTATTATTAAAAAAAAATGGTGGGAAGCCGCCCCGCCCCGGCTTGATATTAATATAAAATCACTTATATTTTAGATAAGTGATAGGTATTATGAATGTGAGACATCTAGAAGTTAGAAGATATTAAAATCATAATAAAAACCTAAGAAATCAGATAGATACAAATAATGACATTTTGTGTTAAGGAACGAAAGCTTAAATAACTTTAGTTTGCATATTAAACTAAACAAAATACCAAATATCCAATTCTTGAAAACACCCGAGCGAGACTCGTACGTAGTTGTAGCGTAATAAAGTGAAGTGAGATGAAATCTTAGTTTAGAACGAGATAAATATATACGTATTAACAAGTGCGAGCGGATCGGTCGTTTTGTAAAGGTGAATGAGGGGGTCATGAGTCTCGTAACCCGTGGGGCGCGGGGGGGGACGCGTCACCAACGCGATCCCCTCTTTCAATTTTCTAACTAGTCGGTTGTAATACTCCAACGCTGTTAGTTTACGTCGCTCCGCCAACGAAATAAACAAGTAAACCCGCGTGTGACAACTTGTGAATTAATTGTGACTCAGTGCATTCACAATGGGATGTGGAACGAGTTTTGTGAAATATGTGCTATTTTTCTTCAACCTGGTTGTGGCGGTGAGTTTATGTTGTTATTCCTAGCCAGACTCGGGGCGTCTGGAACCGGTTCGGGTATGAAAGGTTACGGTAGACGCCCGCGGTGGTGCCTCGCGGTGGTCAGCGGACGGTGAAACGGTTGCCCTACGTGGCCGGTCACAAGCTGACTTAAAAAACTCAAACTGGTTTGTTTATTCGAAAAAAGACGCGTTTATTTTGTTATTCTGCTCCAATGAGCAACTGAATGACATCATTTTTAACGAAACATCGTTATAAGGATATTCTGTATCACTTTGTCAAACAATGGCACATGGATAGAATAAATTTCATATTCATACGGATCCTATGTAGAATTCCTAAATCTTCACTAATTATTACATATTAATTCAAAATACTACCTATTGCCAGTTGCCATTCCAATAAAACTAGTTAATGCACTGCTAAAAACTAAAGAATAAGCTGCATGGAACAGTGACTTACGCCTGTCGAAAACAGCTGTCAAAAAAAAATTAACACACTGCTACGTATTATCCTCCCCACACAAGCTACCACACATACGGCTACTCATAAACGGAAAGGTGCTTTCTGGTAATGTAAGTACTTACATAGGTACCTACCTATCATTTGTAACTATTCAATAAATGTTACATGCTTTAAAAAAAATCTATTGAAATTGTTCCCTCCTGTAGTGTCTCGAGAGAAGTGCACTTATATAAAAACGAACTTGCTCAGGTAGTTTCTTACTTATTACATTATTCTTCTTTACCGTTGAGTTCGAAAAAAAAAAAGAAATGCTACAATAGTATTTTGTTAGGTATTCGTGCATAGCTGTTGCAAGGTTTTTAGATCATTGCTTATAAGTTATTAGTACATGAATAAAATCAACTTTTTGTCATTTAGTGTTTTTATTATAATAATCTAGGTAGGTAAATAGTAATTTTTATCTGGTTTTTACAGATTGAACTTCAGTTATCTATTTATAAGTCATAATTTTGTGTGACATAGGCAGTTATATATTTACTAATATGTTCAAACATTGAGACAGACATCACGAAATTAAAGGGGAGTTGTCTTTCAAATTTTGCCTTACCTACCTATATTGGTAACACTTTTTTTATGGATGAAAAATGGAATGGTAACGTATTTTATTATTTAACGTATTTTATTATTTAACGTATTTTATTATTTAAGTTAACGTATTTTAGTATTTGTATGCTAACGGTATATCCTGGCGGAGCATTAATGAGGGCTGATAAGTGACTATGAAAAGGTATACCAGTTAGTCACTTGGATTTAAGTACGATGGTTCCCAAGGTGGACTGCGAGGAGGTCGATGACAGCATTTATTGCTAGTAATAAATACTAATTCCCATTTCTTACTATCGCTTTCACCATTTTGATAATAGAATCTAAATGTGTGCACTTAACTGTGCTCAAGCTTATATGTACGTAAATACTTTAGGTACTAAATAAATTTAAAAAGAGAGGCGATATGAAACAAAAAAAAAAATAATGAAGAGACTCAATTTTTTTCCAAAGTAAGTAGGTATATATTTTATCGGTTCAGTGATTATAGTATGACCTCACTGAAGCTGACCTTTGTGCCAGAAAACTACCAGAGTTGCCAGATGATTGATAATATAGATTTGGTAATTATTTACGTATTTAAATTCACTATGGTACATTCTGAAATATTATTATTCTATCACTAATATTAACATTCCCGTGGCATTGCTCGTGTGTGTAAGTATTCCTGTGTACCAGATTTCGTTCAAATCCGTTTAGTAGTTTTAGCGTGAAAGAGTAGCATCTATCTTATTAATATTTATAAATTAATAAGAATAATATTTAGTTAGATTTTACAGTGAAATTGTATTTGATTCAGAATTTTGTTACATTACCTATTTATTTAAGTATGTAGTTCATGATATAGTAATATTTTTATATTTTACCTAGTATAGGAAATGTTATTAGATTCTATTACTTTGTATGCTAAAGTTTTATAAAGGAATAATGAAATGGTAAACTTAATATATCATATCAGGTCGACCTCCACGCGGTTCCCTCTAGAAATTATCTTGGCAAATTTTTTATAAATTCATCACTATACGCCAAATGACCTATTTGAGCCTTACCTATCACCTCTTACTGGAGTTCCGCCAGTGTATACCTGTATATGGGTTTACCATTCTTTATAATGGATTGATAATTACCACCCATTAAATAAACATATAATGTACATATAGGTATTTTCGTTCATTTGTATTTATGAAATAACTGTATTCACGCGATGCAATTGGTCACAAAATTATAAGGTCGTTATCTAATGGTAATTATAAATGGCATGTCACTAATATCATTGATTTTTTTATGGGTGAAAATGGTGTGGTAACCCCGCCCGCGCTAACGGGATATGCTGGCGGAGCACCAGTGAAGGGTGATCGATGAGAATGAAAACAGGCCAGTTAGCCCATCATAATGAATTCATCAGGAATTAACCATGATAGTTTCCAGGGAGAAACGTGAGGAGGTCGACTTGGTTGGGTATATTGCTAGCAATGGGATTCTCAGTCTCCATTACTAACAATCCCTTTTCCCCCCAACATCATTGATTGATCCAACTCTATTTTTAATGAACGAAAATTGAATGGTAACACTGCCTCTTATTGATTTATGTTGGCAGTAAAATGACAGGAGAGCATGAAAAATCGGATCTATTGTCTATCACGAACTCCTGCTTCCATAACTAAGGGTCGTCAATGATCCCAAAAGTAATGAAATAGTCTGGAATAATATACACGTTTTACACGACAGTTTTCACTAGTAATAATAGTAGTTAGCTAGAGGCGAGCTTTAAGTTTATTTGCCCCTTGTTTTCTAAAAAAAAATGTACAAGGACAGCACTAGTACTGGTAACTAGTCATTGACTAATTATGGTCCTTCATCCGTTAGGTTTTTTTTTATGATGGGTGAAAATGGAATGGTAACCCCGCCTGCGCTGACGGGATACGCTGGCGGAGCACCAGTGAAGAGTGATAGATGAGAATGAAAACAGGCCAGTTAGCCCAACATGATGAATTCATCAGGAATTAACCATGATAGTTTCCAGGGAGAAACGTGAGGAGGTCGACCTGATTGGGTATTTTGCTATCAATGGGATTTTTAGTCTCCATTACTAACAATCCCTTTCCTCCCATCCGTTAGGTATTGCCATAGACACACTTGTCGTTAATCTAGGCAAAGACATCTATACAGCGGGTCTACCATGAAATGAAATTCCGAAATTTCGGACTCAATTTCGTGTTTTTGTTTATACCAAAATCGGACAAATAAATGGAGTTTAACATTTCGTTCATTATACATCCTATCATAAAAGTCCAAAAGAACAATATTTTAACATTTTTAATATTTCCAATCGGCATGTATTATGTAATTTTAACTTTTAATTTGTGTTTCGTTTTGGCTCCGAAATTTCGAAAAACATTTCATGGTAGGCCCTCAGGTGTTTAAGATAAGCGTATTTGTATTTCGAATATCAATAAGTATAGTACATATAATACATGTGTATTGCTTTTAGTCGTGTAGGCATTTTGGTCATGCTATTGTATAATATCTCCTGACTAACACTGTAAGGGTTCCCACTTGTGCTAATGGCGTGCTTCTTTGATGATAAAAAAGTATATCGTCAATATTAAATATATATTATTTATTTTATAATTTAACTTGTCTTAATATAAATATTTCTCAGTATTATTGCAGTTTATACTCATAATCAAACCGTTAATGAGAAATTACAATGGCTTTTTTTAATTAATGTAAAATATATCCCAGAATAATTGAGTTTTGCAAAAGAAACGAGTCACTTTGGTGTAAAATCAAGTGACAAAAAAAAATACTAAAAATTAAACTAAATATCTAATATAATAATCATGAAATCTTGTATTTTGATATTTGCAATAATTAAAATTGTTACATTTTTTTTTTATACAACTTAGAATGGCAAACAAGCTGACGGCCCACCTGATGGAAAGTGGTAACCGTCGCCTATAGACATGAGCAGTACTATGGACATAACAGAGTATACGGTTTCGCCCATGATACCCCCCATGCGTTCCATTCCTGAGGACTCAGGTGTTATTCCTCTGTACCCTGAAAATGCACGCCATATCCCACCCTTCAAACCGAAACACAGCCATGCAAACACAACTGCTTCACGGTTGAAACACGAATGGGACAGAGGTGCCCAAGCAATTGACTAAAATTGACTTTACATAAAAAATCCGACCTTAATAGTAACAAAATCAGTTATTTTTATTTAAATACTAACTGAACTAAGTATAACCTTTCATACAAAAAAAGAATTTTCCAAATCGGATCGAAACTGACTAAGTTATCTACACTTCTACACTAATATTATAAAGAGGCAAGATTTGTATTTGTGTCTGTATGTTTGTAATGAATAAACTCAAAAACTACTTTGCCGATTTCAAAAATTCTTACACCATTAGAAAGCTACATTCACCCTGAGTAACATAGGTTAAGATTAGGGTTCATTACTAAAACTTTAGTAACGTAACTCAAGGTGTAAAAAAAATGCTATAAAATATCTTTTGTCGCGTGCGTTGCGAAAACTATTGGTGATAGAACAAAAGTATGTTCTACAATATTGAAGAAAATATCAATAACCAATTATGTCCAACTATTATCGTTATGTCACAATAATAACATTTTAAAATATTGTAAAGGTGGCAACCCTAAACACTACCGACAAACTAATGACATCATCGGTGATTATTAGTACTTACTTCATTGTAAACCTACACAAGTCACAAGTGTCATAATGCGCATAGCGCATGTAATATATGATCTTAAACGAAACTGACTGTAGGCTCACTATATAGTACATAGTTATTTATTTTTCTCGTGAATGTCTGTCACAAGACGTTATATATAATTACAGAATAAATATTGTTTTAACACATATTCGTAATAATGTAAATAAACAGTCGAAATGACAAATC